AGTAAGGCTGAGAGAAGGATCAAAACAGCCTGTCTTCTTGAGACATTTTTAAAAGATGATTTATTTTTCCCCAGTGGTATCTAATACTTTGAGAATACAGTTTATGACTCCAATGTGAAAACACATTTTTCATTATAGAAGGAAAAAAAAACTGGTCTATGGCCAATTCTCCTTTTAGTATTGATTTAGAATATTAACATGATGGTGTTTGTGCCAGGTGTCTGGCCCTGGCCAAACATTAGCACTCTGGGCCTTTCCATTTTCTCAACTGTAAAATACAGACCCTGTAATTCCTGCTTCCCTAGTCGTGAGGATGAAAGGAGATAGTGCCTGAGATACGATGGAAAGTTAAGGGCAATAAGAGGGAGAGTGACCCAGCAATGTCCCTCTTGGTGTCTCCTCTGTAGAAATCCTCAGCTTCTTTCCCAGAGGTGCGTGTACTGGATGTTCAGTGAGACACTGTCTGACATCATAAAAAATTGGAGACCATCTAAATATCCTTCTGTTGAGGAATGGGCACATTTCCACTGTGAAATATTATGCAGCAGTTAAAAAGTAAAGTATTATAACTATATATGGACAAAAATTCAGAGCATATTGTGACATCAACCAAAGCAAGTGGGTGGAATAGCCATCTCCTTTGTGCTAAAAATAATGACCACATAATAGTAGGCTGAGAAATCGCCCCAAGTGATATTCACACACTAATCCTGGAAGCCTGGGCGTGTTATCTTATATGGAAAAGGAATCTTTGCAGATCTGATTAGGGCTCTTGAGGTAGGGAGCCTCGCCGGGACCCTCCAGGTGGGCCCTAAAGGCCATCATACATGTGCTTATCAGAAGGAGGCTGAGGGAGAGTTCACGCCAACACAAGAGGGACCACAGAGGCAGAGATTGGAGTGATGTGACTGCAGACCAGGGAAGATGGAAGAGGCAGAGCATGGACCTTCCCTTGGAACCTTTGGAGGAAGCGCAGCCCAGCTGACACCTTGATTTTGATGCAGTGAAACTGATGTGGAACTCCTGGCCTCCAGAACTGTGAGAGAACACCTTTCTGTGGTTTTAAACCATCAAGTCTCTGCTCGTTGATCAGGACAGCTACAGGAACATGGCAATATGCATGTGCTATAATGCAAAGCAAAGTAGCAAGCCTGGGAAGATGCACACCCAGATTGTTAACTGTGGCTGCTTTTGGGGAGGGGAAGGAGATGTTCACATTTTGCTCTGATTTTTTTTAGTATCATCTGGGTTTTTAACATTTGCATATCTATGCATGTATTACTCGTGTGGGTTTTCCAAAATATTAATAGTAATAAAGGCCAAATAAGAATCATATATAATCAGGACAAAAATCTAGGATCTCAGTTCAAAAGGATCATCAGATAAAGGCATAGGGTGACAAGGCATCATTGATCTTACAGAAAAGAGGCCCAGTCCCACTGAGCACCCTCAGCCGCACCGTGCAGAGAGCCTCTCAGCTGTCCCTCGGAAGGACAGAGGCTGGGCGCTTCTCCACTGCGGGTGGCCCCTCTTGGTTGAGGGGTGTCACCAGAGGTTTCAGTCTCTCCAGTGCCTGCAGACAGAGCAGGCAGGAAAGCAGAGAGTGACTACTCAAGCCCTCGAGGTGGGAGCTGGTGTTGTGTACAGGGGGATTGTCCACTGTGGGGGCAGCTGGAGTTAGTTGGGGGCTATAACATGAGCGCATTTACTACAATTTGTTATTTTCTGTATTCCTGATGCTCTGGCATCTGGGGCCTTGTGGACTCAGGGAGCGACTGCCCTCCACACCCCCACCCCACCTCTGTTAGCTGATTCCTCCCGATAGGAAGATCTGTGAGCATGCCTGTGTCTTACCATACCTGCTTGAAACGAATCTGGGGTACATTTCAAAACAGTGGGGCACAAAAAACATCTGCTATATGGAGGAGAGGAGCCCTGGAGCCCCAAAGAGGGAAGCACCTAAGAGATCGGAGGAGCCCTCCTCACCAGCAGCCGAGCCATGCCGCAGGCCGGGGACAGTGTGTGCACCTCGCCGATAACCCCTGTTATCTGAGGGCTTGTTTTCTAGAGGGCTTCCCGTGTGCCAGGCCAGGCACTGTGACAGCCCCGGATGCAATGGCCAGTGAGCCAGTGTCCCGCCTGCACGGAACAACCGTCCACAGGGAGGGACAGACATTCACTGACTAAATACCGCACGGAGGGACAAGGCCGTGCTCAGGGAGGAACAGCGTGTCGCGGGAGCACTCAATGAGGGCATCCAACCCACTGAGGAGTTCCAGGGAGGTGACAGGAGTGTGAGAAGCGGGAGGAGGGGAATGTTCCGGGCAGAGGGAGCAGCCTGGGTAAAGGTCTGGGGTCAGGGAGGGTCTGGCCCTGCCCAGAATTGGAGGAGGCTCAGTGTGGCGAGTGCAGCTGTGTATTTAGACCATGTCTAAGGAGGGTGTGAGGCAGTGCGTGACAGGAGCAGGAACAGGGCGAGCAGACAGGTAGGGGCCGGTGCAGCTGTGCGGGTGAAGGAGGGGACACCTGGGCTCAGGGGGTCACAGAGGGGCCCAAGAGATGCTTAGTAGGAAAAATCTGCAAGACTCGGATGTATGGGACAGAGGAAAGGTGGAATGAAGATCAGGCCTAGATTTCTGGCTTGGACAGTGCCCTCTTTTAGCCAGATGGAACCAGAAGGAGGGACATATTTGGGGGAAGGGCTGGGCTGGTGAGTAAATATAAAGTGGAGAACTTCTAGGTGACCCTGTGGTCCCCGTGCCTCTCCTGACTCCTGGAAATGGAGCTGCGAGGGGTGGCTGCTGAGTGTTTGGCGCACCTGCAGGCTGCACCCAAGTCACGCAGAGCCGGTGAAGAGACCCATGGACGTGTGCGGGGGGGGGGGGGGAAGTCTCGGCACCCTCAGGGCTGTCTGGGTGCTGTGGCTCCTGAGAGCGGAAGCTGGAAAAGGCTGTTTTTCCGGGGGCTGCTCCAGTCGCTGCACTCGCCAAGGGCTTTCTTCTTAAAGGTGCGCCACTGCGGGCTGCTGGCGTGAACGTGGCAGTACAAACAAACCCTGCATTCTCCCCTCGTGCTGGAAACCAGCTGAAACCCACAAAGAGAACGGACAAGAAAAGGCAAATTCCTTCTTCAGCAAACTCAGGAGGCAGACAGCAGCACGCTTGGGAGCAGTGTAAACTGCAGCCAGGCTCCTGCAGGAGCAGCGTTGGGAGAAGCGAGAGCAGAGGAGACAGCCCAGTGCGGCAGAGCCCAGGAAGCACCGTGAAATACACCTGATGGTAAGCGACACACCTGAGACGCAGAGTCTCCACCTCTGCTTGTCTGCAAAAGAGGGTGTGGAGGTGAATTGGCGGCCCAGTGGCCCCGGCGGGACCGTTAGGAGACTGATACATAAAGAACCGTGCTGATGAGCAGTATTTGCAGGACACAGCCTGGCTGCGGGGTAGATGAGAAGAGAGTGTCTGCACCGTGAAAACCAGCTGAGGCCAAATTCTACCCGGGTTCTGCAGGAGCATCTTTCAGTGGACTGGTCCGACTCACACAGTGAAAGGAGTTCGGCACCCAGACAGAGACACGACAAGAAAAAAGGAGATGTGCTGGGCACGGTGGCTCACGCCTGTAATCCTAGCACTCTAGGAGGCCGAGGCGGGAGGATCGCTCAGGGTCAGGAGTTCAAGACCTACCTGAGCAAGAACGAGACCCTGTCTCTACTAAAAATAGAAAGAAATTTATTGGTCAACTAAAAAAATATATATAGAAAAAATTAGCCAGGCATGGTGGCACATGCCTGTAGTCCCAGCTACTCAGGAGGCTGAGGCAGGAGGATTGGTTGAGCCCAGGAGTGTGAGGTTGCTGTGAGCTAGGCTGACGCCACGGCACTCTAGCCCGGGCTACAGAGTGAGACTCTGTCTCAGAACTTTTGCTTCTGAGTCAGGCCTTTACTTTGGAAATCTGTTTTCTGAGCTCCATCGCAGGGAATTAATAGCTAAAGAACTATAAGAGGTATACACTGTATATAACAAAGTAAAGGTAAGTGAAAAGAAAATATGCTGAAAAACTTCAAAAATGATAAATACAAAAAACATACCATTAAATATGATGAAAGAACTAAGACTAAACATGTATGGGGCTGTATCAAGTAATGCGAATGGGCTAAATTCACGTAGTGAAAGAACACGGGGCTATTTTGGTAGAATGTGTGTGTGTGTGTGTGTGTGTGTGTGTGTGCTTTCTGAATAGAGGGTGTGGAGCACCCCTAAACCCTAAGTCCTCCCCTAAACCCCCTCCCCATGGTGCACCATGAAGGAAGAGCCCACACAGGTTTGAAGACCATTTCTCCAGCCCATCCCCAGTAAGCAGGAGAAAGGTTCTAGATGCAACCCAGGGGTGGGGAGCACAGATTGTCTAGGAGACCACGCAACTAACAAGGATAATACTCTCCCGGCTTTGTCTCCCTGAAGCCCTGGCTGGAGTCCGGGAAATCACAACCTGCCTCCACCGGCTCTACCCACTGAGTACTCTGCTTGCTGGTCCCCAGATCCCCCAAGCAGGTGTCCAGGCCAGGGGCTCTGTGCCCTGGGACGTAGACGCACCTGCTGGCTTCACAGCGGCGAAGTGCCTTGGATGTCAGGTGACGCGGGAACAGGTCAGCACATGGGTGCAGAGGCCAGAGGGGATTTTCCCCATCGCCTCTGCTCCCCCGGCGCAGGGGTGGGGGCAGTTAGCTCAGGTGGTCCTTCTAAGACAGCTGCAGGTCTTAGAACCAGGTGGATGGAAGGTACTGCTGGCCTTCACGCATGACCCTGGTGTCGACACGTCAGGCTGGGTCTTGGGGGCTCGGCCCAGGGCTGCAAGGGAACCTTTGGTTTTCATGGTCTCGCTGCTCAGGCCAAGGTACACGATCGGGTCTCCTGCTGGTGGCTGGGCAGTGGCAGCAAACCTCACTCATGTCAGCCCTCTTCTCCAACAGCCACCCTCGCAGGCCCAGACTGACATATGGGGAGGGGTTCCTCTTGTGCAGCTCTGCCCCCCTGTAGATGCTCATCTTGAGTGGGTGGGGCAGGAAGGGGTTCAGGGGAGCCCTCAGGTGGGTCAGTCCACCTCCAACTGCCCACTGAGAGCCAGAACCCCTGGATACTGGGGGAAGCAAGGCCTTCAAGTCCATTTTATCCAGCCCGTCCCTTGTAGATGAGGAAGCTAGTCTGAGAATGAGGTCACACGGCCAACACAGACTGCAGCCCGCTGACTCCTTGTCCAGTGCTCTTTCCACCACCAAACACTGGCTCCCAGCGACTGGATGCAGAGTGGCCAAGAGCCATTAGTGCACCAGGAACAAAGGCGCTAAGGGGGTGGCCTCGTTTCCAGAAGACAAGAGGGGCTGCGAAAGGGAAGAATCAGCATGGAGGACCTGCAGCTGGGAGGAGCCGTGGGCTCCTTCTAGGCAGCGCTGTAACTGAGTCCTCCCACTGCCTTTTGATTGTCTTCTGATATCTGATGTGCTGAGAAGAGACGTGTTGGTCTTTGCAGAAACAGCCACTGTCTCATAAGGGACAGCAGACACAGACAGATGAGGGGCCATTCCTCCAGGCCAGTGGTTGCAAGGCAGGGCTGCCTAACAGGGACTGAGGAGGGAGAGGGGGCTGTTTTAGTTGCAGAGGGAAAGTAACTCAGGGATGATCTTAATTAGGTCTCTGGCCGCGTGTAGATGGGGCACCTGCGATCCACAGCTCAAGTGTTGATAGGACGTGGGTTTACATGGATGCCCCAGAATCCCATGGAGCCCCAGGCAGTGGCTGCAGCTGGCCCTGGGCCAGGCTCGGGACTGGAACCAGCAGCTTCAGGAAGCCGGGCAAGGTGTTCCCCCTGTTCCATCTCTGGTTTCTCTGTGCAACTGTCTCCTCTCTCCCTGCAGACCGGCTCTCATCAGAATGTGACCCATGCTGCAGTCTTTAGCTGAGTGGCCATGGGCTTCTGCTCTAGAGCTCACGAGCAGAACAAGTCACCTTGGCTGACTTATTACAGCCCATGTTACCAAGGGCTGGGTGGGTGGAGAGGATGCACTGGCCCCACGTGGGCCAGGGGTCAGAGTGTCTGCAAAAGTGTGGCTGCTGGGAAGGGTTGCAGGGGTGAGAGGTGGCACTTTTGAGATAAGCTGGGGGCTACTCCTCACCCACAGATGTCCACTGCAGAACCGATCCTGGACAGTCCCCTTTGGTCACCTACAAGGGATCTTTTCAGAATAGCAAGCACCTGTGAGACAAAGGGAATCTGATTGTTCTGTTGGCCTGGTTTCCCTGATACCTTTTGCAATCCCGTTCACCTGTGTGCCTTCTCTATGTATCCCAGCAACTTGCCTCCCACTGCACAGAGTATTAAAAATTTCTTAGAAGTATTTGGCAAGTTCAGTAAGTAACCTTCATCTGGGGAGAGTTTTGTGCCGTGCACTGCATTTTCCATTCGCTGTTCTCATTTCATACCAGTGCTGTGCTGGTGGGTCTGTCCTTAGAGTAAAGGCCCAGGGACAGAGACTCTAAACCACAGAGGCTTAATCTGCTCCCGGCAGCTCTGTTCCCACCTGGCCACGCAGGTACCCACCCTCCTTCCTTCTCGTGGCTCCACGGTGCCCTAGAGCAGCAGCTCTCCAGCGTGAGCTCTCGCCAGAGCCACCTGGAGAGCTTGTGACAACGCAGGCTGCGGGCCCCTGTTTCTGATTCAGTAGTTCTGGGGTGGGGGCCCGAGAACTTGCATTTCTGACAGTCCCCAGGTGACACTGGTGCTGCCGGGACCATGTGTTGGTAAATCACCGCCCCCAGGGCGTGTCCTTGCTACCGTGTGCAGAGCTGGTGCTGCCACACGTGTGTGCCAACCTGCAGGCAAGTTACGGTTGCCAGGGCGGCCAACTTAAGCATATGAGGCAGGCAGAAGTGGGGGGCAGACAAAAGTGGGGGACACTCGTGCTAGTCAGATACCTGGTCACATGGTCCCACGCGGCTGCAAGGGAGGCGGGGCAAAGGCATCCTTACCTGGGCGGCCATGCGCCCTGGAAAAGGGGGAGGGCATGTTTGTGGGGGACAGCTAGACATCTGCCATAGTGGGCCCCCAGAATCAAGGGAGATGGAAAGAGAGGCGCTGTCACGTGGTGGTGGGAGGGGACAGATGTGGAACGAGTCCCATGGTGCATGGTGGCACTGTCATAATGGCAGTTTATTCAAAGTGAGAAGGGGGAGAAGCCCAGTTCTGTCTGCAGGTGACCAGCCCAGGAGGCAGAGCACGCTGAGCTTCGAGGCACGAACGCCGTTGGCCGTGGCTGCCCATTTCCTCTCTTGAAGGCGGCCAGCGGTCACTCCACCTGGGCTGTGCCCTTCTCACTGTCTCCCGCACCTGGGACCCTCCTCTGTTCACTGTCCCTGTTGTTTTGTGGGTTGGGGCTGATGGCTTTCCCAGGTCTCAAGCTTTCTTTTTCCACCCCGTTCCCTAGGCGCCTTGGCTCTGGAGAAGACTGCGTGGCAAGAGGCGGCCAGTGATGGCGTTCTGCCTCCTGATGACCCTGTCTGCAGTGGCTGTCACCCGCTTCCCCCCACAGCGTCCAGCTGCCGGCCCAGCCCCTGGGCCCCTGGAGCCCCGGGCGGTGACTGGCGTCCCTGCCCTCCACGTCCCGAAGGCTGTGAGCTCCAGCCGGAGGCAGCGGGCAAGAAACCTGGGATTCTGGAGAGGCTGGGCTCCTCCCAGGAACGCCGTCTCAGTCTGTGCTGAGGAGCAAGGCCACAGAGCGCGAGTGGACAGAAGCAGGCGGTCCCCAGGAGGGGACAGCGGGCCTCCAGGGAGGGTCAGGAGGGACATTGCTTTGGCAGGAGATCCGAGACTCAGCACCCAGCATCTCGTGCTCCTGAGGGAGGATGAGGTCAGAGATCCAGGAGGCGGCAAAGGCCTGGGCTGCCCCTGGCACGGTGGTCCCACCCAGGAGACGCAGAGCGCCGTGGGCACCCTGGCCGGCCCACTTGCAGGGCATGACGTGGCGGCCTCACCGGCCTCGAGAGCTGCTGCTGGGCTGCCCCTTGGGCCCTATCCAGCGGAAGGCAGGGGTCTGCCGGGAGGTGAGGACAGAGCGTTGCCTGGTGGGCCACAAGCAGAGGACCCCACCCTGGCCTCAGGGCCTCTCCAGTGGCCTGGCTCTGTGGGGGAGCTGCAAGGGTCCGTGTGGTGTGACGCTGAGCCCCCTGGACTGCTGACCAGCTCGAGGACTGGCAGGCAGGTCCCCCCGTGGCTCACAGAACTCGACGTGCAGACCCTCTGGCTGCTGGCCCAGGGGGAGGTGGTGGCCAAAGCCAGGGTCCCCGCCCACGGGCAGGTGCTGCAGGTCGGCTTCTCCGCCGAGGATGCCCAGCAGGACCCGTCTCCTCCCAGGCTCAGCCGACTCTGCTCCCAGGGCCTCTGTGGCCTGATCAAGAGGCCCGGGGACCTGCCCGAGGTCCTGTCCTTTCACCTGGACCGTGTGCTGGGGCTGCGGCGGAGCCTGCCCGCGGTGGCCCGGCGCTTCCACAGCTCCCTGCTGCCCTACCGCTACACGGATGGTGGCGTGAGGCCTGTCATCTGGTGGGCACCTGATGTGCAGCACCTGGGTGACCCGGATGAGGACCAGAACTCCCTGGCCTTGGGCTGGCTGCAGTACCAGGCCCTGCTGGCACACGGCTGCCGCCAGCCCAGCCAGGCCCCGTGCCCGGGCATCCGCCACACCGAGTGGGCACGCTTGGCGCTCTTTGACTTCCTGCTGCAGGTAGGTGGGTTTGGGTAGTGGGTGGAGAGGCCTGAACTGCCCATCAGAGGTTGGATGGTGCCTGCCCCCTAGTCCAGGTCTTTTGACCACAAGCACCTGTTTTTGTAAGTTTTCTGTTTCTGTTTATTTATCCAGTGGTGTGCTAGCGCCAGCCCATGACAGCTTGCATGAGCTGAGTGCTAAAATTTTCAGGAATTTTGTGACCTGGTTGTGAAACATGGACATTACTAAAAATTAAATTATATAAGCTAACCAATGAATTATATCAGAAATAGAGGTAATAAATACTCAGAACCCATTACTTCCTAATTACCTTACTACGTTTTTACTTATTGATTGATTGATTGAGACAGGGTCAGGCTCTGTGGCCCAATCTGGAGTGTAGTGCTACCATCATAGCTCACTGCAGCCTCCAACTCCTGGGCTCAAGCGATCCTCCTGCCTCAGCCTCCTGAATAGCTGGGACTACAGGCACGCACCACCACGTAGTAGAGATGGGGTCTCGCTTTTGCTCAGGCTGGTCTACCGAGCTCAAGTGATCCTCCCGCCTCGGCCTCTCAAAGTGCTGGGATTACAGGTGTGAGCCGCTGCACTGGCCTATTTTACTATGTTTTGCTATTATTTGTGCTCTTGCAGTTACTTATACACATTGTATCTATGCAGTGACTGCTGTATAAGACTGTGCTCCTGCACCTGTCTTGTCAACTCCACATTCAGTCATGTTGGTAGCTTAAAACTGGTCAGGGTGTGAATATTTTACGCCATGGAAATCAGCAAATGCTACAAATCAGGATTCCCCTCTACCCGCCAGAAAGCCGATTATTGGACGTTTACTAGCACACCGCTGTTTATAACTTTATATATTTGAACAAGGATTGAAGATGGTTGTATAATTTAGAAAAGAAAGCGAGAGAGGGAAAGAGAGAATGGGAGAGGGAGAGAGGGCAAGAGAGTGTGCGTGGGAGCTGTCTGCTGGCTGAGGTCCCAGGGCCAGGAGTTAACCCTGCAGTTGCCGGGTGGAGCGGAAGCATGGGGTCCTAGGGAGGGGGCTGGGCTGTCAGGGCACAGGGACTGACCTGGGGTCTGCAGGCGTCGGCTATTCACGGACTGGCCTGAGAACACGCAGTGCGGCAGTTCCGGGACGTGTGAGCTGCATGTCAGCCGTGCATACACACGCGTGGAAACATGGCCAGAAAGAAGCAAAGACAAAAAATGAGGAGAGCTCAGCAGGGGTGGATATGTGCACTAAGTGCACATGGAGCTGCACGCATTTCTGTAGGGACCCTTAGTGAATAAAAAGTCAACATTAGCCCTTAGGCCACCTGCACAGGTGTGTGGACAGGCCACTGGACAAGATTCAGGGCCACCACTGGGCAGCCAGGAGCTGATACGCTGTGTTTGGTCCACATAGGGTTGGTTCCCAATGTGTTTTAGAAAATTCTTAGACAACGGTATAATACTTTGGAGATTTCCCATTAAAACCCAACTTTGTAAAATTGGGTGGTTTGGTGACACTGAGCCTTCATCCCCATACACAGTCATCAGGCTGCATTGGGTAGCTGCTGCCCCCTTAGAGGCTGCTGTGCTCACCTTTCAGCCACAGGCCCTACCTTATTGTTGTCCAACACCCACGTACTCTCCCCACTCCCTGAGTGTCACCCTGACTGCCTGCAGATACGTTTGTTTCCAGTCCCAGGACTAGCGGATCTCCTGCAGTCCTGCCAGCTCCTCCTGTCTTCGTCCCGTGGCTGCCTTGTAGAAGGAGCCGTGGCGCCTGGTGGCCGAGAGTGTGGGCTTTGGCTTCAGACAGACCTGGGTTTGAACCCCCCAGCCCCAGGCCACTTCCCACTGCGTGCTGCTCAGTGGGTTACTTGGCCTCTCTCAGCTTCACTTTTCTCACCTCTAACACGGGACTGGGCGTCCCAGCTTCGTAGCTCCTGACTGCTGGCACATGTACCTGCACCTGCAGGCTGGCTCGTGGCCGTGAAGCCTGCTCCGCCCGGCGTGTGACATGCTGGAAGTGCGGGGGAATTAACACCCTCCAGGCAGGGTGACCAACCATCCTGGTTGGGAAGGAGGGTTTCCCAGATCACAGGGGAACTTTCAGTGGGTGCTGAAACTGGGACAGTTGTGGGCAAACAGGGAAGGTTGTTCGTGCTGCATGGGGAGCAGCCCTCAGCCACCACCGATGGGGGGCGGTGTGTAAACGCCCCCTACGCACACTCTGCACACCTCCCAGAGGGCCCCAAGGGGACTGAAGCCCAATCATCCACAGTGCTCACTGCTGGCCTTCCCTGTCTCCCCACCATGTTTCTTGGAGTTAGCTCCCAAATACACTGCTGTCATCAAATCCTTGTCTCAAGATCTGTCTCTGGGGGGCCCAGCCTAGGTCAGACGGTAACACTGACCATGCGTGGCCTCTGCGCCTGAGATCGTTCATGTAATACCCTTGGTGCAGTGCCTGGCAGGTGGCACGCGCCCGTAATACGCAAGCACTCTCCCCGAGACTTCACAGGAGTGAACTCATCCAGGCCTCATGGCAAATGTGGGATTCTGCATTTATGCCTGTTTTAAAAATTAAAAATTGAGGCCCAGAGAGGATATGGTACTTACCCAAGGTCACAGCTGGTGGACTGGTGGGCAGCTCGGATGATCTGACTCTAGAGCTCACTCTCTGAATCAGGGTTACTGTTCAGCTGGCTGTGAGTGAGGGCAGGGGAAGGGGGTGCTTGCAGGGATGCCGGGGGCCCTGGGATCTGAGGCACAGCCCCTTGCAAAGCCCCAGTCTTGTGGATGTGCTCGCAGCCGCTGTCTGCTCCACACAGAGCCTCTCTGTTCATCTCTGGGGTTGCACCGTGGGACTCCTCCTCGGCTGCCAAGCCCTGCTGTGGGACAGAAGTTTCTGCAGCCAAGGCACACACAGGTTGGTTGTGTGGTTAGACACGGCTCAGCTGGGCTCGCGCCACCTCTTCCCTGGTGTGCTGAACGCCAGTCAAGTCAAACACCCTTGTCTGGCTAAGGCCGCCTTCCTAGAAACCACTGGCAAGTTGGAGAGAGGCGGGGCCTTAGAATGTGGGTTTCCCTGCACAGGAACCCGAGATTCTTTCTGACCCGGGGCCGGGCACAAACTCTGCATACAGCCCACTTGGGTAGGTGTGCTGGCTCCTTGGTTTGGTTCTACCCTATGTAAACTGTTGTTTTTCTCTATGCATCACAGTATTCCATTTACCCAGATACAAAACACACAAGCACCACGCACACGTATCTCTTATAGCCCCATAAATCATACCTATGCTTCACAAATCCCGCATAATGCTCTGTATTGGTTAGTGATTGCAGTAATAGCACTGTGTAACAAACAAACCTCCTGAAAGCCCAATGAATGGCCGAAAGCACCAGCTCTTCATACCTTGCTCCAGCGTCTGCAGGTGCCCCGCGCTGCGCTGTGGGCTGGGCTCAGGGCTGCTCTCCGTTTCTCGTTCTGGGGCCCAGGCTGCAGGGCCATCACTACCCGGGCAAATTCTTCTTATGGGGACTGGAGGAAGCCCAAGAGCTCGACTAGACTGCAGAGCACATTTTAAGTCCTCTGCCAGCGCCACGTCTGCTGATATCCCATTGGCCAAAGCAAGTCCATGGTCAAGCGCAGTGACAAGGAAGGGAAGTATACTCTGGCCAGAGTGGAAGGGGGGAGGAGCGAATATGTGTTGGACAGTAACCAAATCAACCCTCCCCCACCAAAACACACATTGTGTACTTAGACATGAGCCTTTTATGCCCGCATGTGCAGTAGCCACATACACACATACACTATTCACATGGACCACACACCCTCCATGTGGTGCCCAGACCCTGTTGAGGCCTCTGGGGCAGTGTGCAGGTGTCTCCGGGTTGTCACAGCCAAAGGGCAAGGACGCTGGCATGTTCACCCCCAACTCCCAGTTGTCACTGGTTGAGACCACACCCCAGGGCGCTGACTTCCTGGCACTCAGCGTGCTCCTGCAGCCAGGAAGGGGCTGTGGCTTCTAGAAAGTCACTGGTATGTGCGGGCACACGGGCGGGACACCAACACTATCTGCTAGTCATAATGAGTGAAAGGTCAAAGATGTATGTCAAGTGGTCGATATGACCGGGAGAGCATTGTAATGAATACACTAGGTTCTAAGATGAAGTACGAATAGTGAGTGGGATGTCTTCCCGTCTACATCACCCCAGGCTGTGTCACAGGAAGAAGTAAGGCCAAGGGGGAGGCTGTTACTGCTGGATGGATCAGCAAGAAGCTGGTTCCATTCTACTGGACAAAAAGCACGTGTGTGTGTATTTGCATGTGTGTGTGTGTGTGTGTGCATGCATGTGTATGTGTGTTTGGGGGAGGAAGGGGCTCGAGAAGCCCTATTCTACTTAACGTCAGGGGCCACCTGCAGCCAGAGTTGCAGTCACTCAGGTAAAAGGTACAAAGTCCTGCTCCCTTGGGACAGTGAGGATGGTGATGCACAGCCCAGCTGTGGCCGGGAGGAGCTGTGACCAGCAATCTGCTCCTGGGGCTGTGCCTGGACCCCAGAGGGTCTTCTACCCAGAGGCCAGCATGGGGGAGGAGGTGCTGGGGGCTTTGGCACATTTCTGTTTCTTCTCTTTTCAAGGGGCGTCTTTTATCTTAGAGGGTGTGAGATTGGCCGGCCTGGGTGGGTGAGCTGCGGGGCCTGCAGACAGACTGTGAGTTGGTAACATGAGCTCAGAGAAGTAAGTCATCTGCAATTTCTGCACGCACCTGAAAGCTGGGACCCCAGAGAGCCTCAGCTGCCACCATCCTGGTCCCGGCACTGCAGTGTCTTCCTTACCTGGACTAACGCAACAGCCTCCTAACTTGTCTCCCTGCCTCTACCTACGTCCCTCCAATCCTTACACGATTCCGAGTAACTGTCTTGGTTTGGGTTCCCCAGAGGCAGAGGCTGAGACCGGCTTCCAGCCAGGGGTAGTTTGCCTGGGGATCCCAGGAACACCTG